TTTCTCCAGAATCTTAGAGAGGAAGGGGAGGTTAGAAATCGGTCTATAGTTGGCTAAAACCCCTGGGTCGAGAGTGGGCTTTTTAAGAAGGGGTTTAATTACAGCTACTTAAAAGGACTGTGGTACATATCCTGACAATAAAGAAAGATTGATCATATCTAGTAAAGAAGTGCCAATTAAGGGTACGACTTCTTTAAACAGCCTAGTTGGGATGGGGTCTAACACACAGGTTGATGGCTTCGATGAAAGATTGATAGCAGAAAAACAGTCTAAATATATATCTGATTTTACATTAGTTAAAGTTCCTGAACTTGGAGAGCCAGTGATAACTGTTGGTGATTAATTTTGTCTCTAATAGTAATAATTTTATTATAAAAGAAGCTCATAAAGTCGTTGCTACTGAGGGTTATGGGGATATGTGGCTCAATAGAGCTGTGACTCTCTGTCAGCCTGGCTGCAGTGCTGAAGAGGAACCTGGGGTTGTTCTTATTTTCTTTCTTCTTTCTTATTCTCTCCTTTCTACAGGTTTTAAGATTATCTTGCTAAATTGAGCGATATTCGAATAAGTAACAAATGCATGGATTAGTTTTTCTGCATCCGTTTGTGAAAGAGTGTGTCTAATTTTTGTAATATTACGTAGATGAAAAAAGGCAGTCCTGGAGGTCTGCTTTATGTGGGAATTATGTCCTGATCAAAGATAACTCCAAGATTACTGAAAGTGGTGCTAGAGGCCAATGTAATACCATCTTGTAGCTATATAAGTATAAGTACAAGAATTTTCTTTTTTTCTGAGTTTAATATCAGAAAATTGCAGCTCATCCAGGTTTCTATGTCCTTAGAAGAAGAAGAAGAAGAAGAAGATATATACTTTATTAAGACATTTGTAATTTAGATAATTGATTAATTTCATCAGGCTTGATCGATAGATATAACTGGGTATCATCTGCATAACAATGAAAGTTAATGGAGTGATTCCTAATAATGTTGCCTAAGGGACGAATATATAAAATTAATAGAATTGGTCCAAGTACAGAACCTTGTGGAACTCCATACTTCCAAGACAAAATAGACTATTTCCAGGATTTTTGGTCGTTTTAATTAATTATCAGACATTTCCATGACTGGAAAACTAGTCTCTAAATTTTCAGCTTTACCATTTTCATCCACTAAAACTTGCATTATATGTTACGATCTGAACTGGAACTTTTCCTCTATATTTTGCCTTAACATAAAATCTAAACAATTACAGTGGTGATCTTGAGTCTCACTAGCTAGGCTAGCTAGGATTCCAACTCCAGAAAAAGAAAAATCTCAGACAAAAGTTGAGAGTTTAACAGTGTGTTGACGAAAAGTTAGCTTTATAAGGGTCAAATGTGTTTTGTGGCTCCAGACAGATTTTTATTTATTAACTTTTTTTTGCCAACAATGTCTCTTTTGATTGTAAAGGTTGCTAAGTGTAGGAAACCTGTATGGTGTAGTTAACTGCAGTAGAGTAATAGTAGTAGCTGAAACTTTCACCGTATTCAAAAAGCCAATTTGAGCTAATTGAATTCTCAGTCTCCAGAGCTTCAAATAGAGACACTGAGAATGAGACTCAACAACGACTCATTGTATTGTTCATAGTTTACAGTGTACAGTATATAATAGCTGCATATATACAGCAAAACTTGAATGAAGTTTGATGACATGGTAGAGCATGGAAGTAGCGTGGGATCATGGGAATTGTTGTTTGCACCATCAATGCCGTCACTGCAGTCAGTTTCTCCCGGCTATTCATGGTTTAGGAGGTTTCTACCGGGAGCCAATTATCCACAGAGGTCTCCTC